AGAAAAAATATTAAATTCCTTAAGAAATCCTATTGAGGGGAAAGTTTGGATCACAACAGCTTTGTGGGATCTCACCATTGAATTATCATATAATACTCTCTCTTTCAGATACACCCATAGTATTTTTTCTTTTCAATCTTCTCCTGTGGTAGAGTCTCCAAGGTCTCTTTCTCTGTACACCTTGTCCAGCCTTTCACAGAAAAGCCAGGCTTCCCATATTTACAGTGAAATTTTTTAGTCATAAATGCTTTGATAAAAAAATAGAAATATCCGAAATCATCAAATTTGGTCCTTTGCCTGGTCTGGATAAGAAAAGAAAAAACACTATGGGTGTATCTGAAAGAGAGAGTATTATATGATAATTCAATGGTGAGATCCCACAAAGCTGTTGTGATCCAAACTTTCCCCTCGATAGGATTTCTTAAGGAATTTAATATTTTTTCTAGGAAAAATGCTCCCTCAAGGAACGTAAACTCTGCATAATAAACAAATACGTTGATTTGGGTCCACATGTTGAAAACAGAAATCAGATACTTGAAGTTCTCATCTTTCAATAATATGATTTGTGAAAATACAACACAGATGCCATTCTGAGCCAGCACAGGAACGAGAGTCCTAATGAAATGTTCTCCATTATCAGTGTCTGCAGCAAAGACGCCAATGAATGTCCATTGAAAATACAGCAGCAGTTTAACAATCCCCACGTACTGGGCATCTTGTTTGGGGATGGTCCGATAGAAAAAGGGTAACTGAGTTTTATCACTCAGGATCGGCGAAATAAAAGTGTAGCTGATCTGGAGGGGGGCAAAAAGGAGATTTATGCTTTATTTCGAGTTTTTACAAAGCCCACCTATTAAATCCTGAAAAGATTATGTCAGAGCTTAGGTAGTGGCTGGAAGATTCACATCTACCTTGGTGGATTTAATAGAAATGCAGAGAATGTAACTGTTGACAATGGATGTTAAGAAGAAATCCAGATCTCATTTTGTGAAAAGTTGCTGCTTCCACAGGGCCTGCATAGTGCAAGATCTTGAGCAACGTGAAATATTACAAATTAATATTTGTTCTCCACTTATAACTGTTGATTATGGTTGTATTTATATTTGTTCTTAGGAGACTGGTGGCATAAATATTAATTTTTCATCTTAATCCATGCTTAATTAACATTTCTAAGGAGAAAACCTCCTCGAACTGCTCTGGAATAAATTGGCAGCCATTCACTTGCTCTATACCTGTGGGATTTTGTAGATGCCCAATATGGCAGCCATGAGGATGGATATATCAGAGTTGGTCTCTTCCAGGAGAACCAGCATNTGAGTCAACCCTGAACCGGTGAGATTTGAACAGCCGAACTGCAGAACTGCAGTCAGCTGAAGTAGCCTGCAGTGCTGCATTTAACCACTGCGCCATCTCGGCTCTTAATACCAGGGATGGGTTCCAGCAGAGACTACTGCCGGTTCGCTCAGGAATGTGCCCCGCGAGCTTGATCTGCATTGCACGTGCATGCGCAGTACAACTAAAATTGTACTCTGTGCATGTGCAGAAGCAAAAAAATAAGATGGCAGCACCTGTGGCACTGCCGGGAGAACCAGTTTGGGGGTGTGGCAGGCCTGGGTTGCTGCCAGTTCCAGCGACCTAGGCCACCAAGCTACTACCAGTTCGGCCGATCTGGTCCGAACCGGTAGGAACCCACCACTGTTGTATCCTATGCTCTGCAGTCTTCTGCAATCAGCAGAACTTCTCAAGACCTTCTATGCCTCTGTGAATTTTGATCCAGCCTCAGGATCGCGAGACTCCCCGTTTGAGAAGCTGGCTGAACTTTTGATGTCAACCAGCCATTTTTTTTCCTGACGGGTTTCATTGTATTACATTTTTATGGCAGTTCTCCTTCTGGTGGTTATTGTGGGTTTTTGGTTATTGTTTTATTGCGAGCTGCTGTGAGCATCCCTTAGGATTGTCAAGCCAGTCTTTAAAGATTTTAGCTAAAAGCCCTGTTATTTCATGTACAATTATGAAAAGGGCTCTTGTATCTGTTCAGCAGACTTGGGTAATCTTATGGTCATTTCCTTTGATAAAACTCTCAATTTAAAAGCCCCGAAGGGACCCATTGCCCCCCACCCACCATCATGAATTTAAACAGTGCAGAACCTTAGTGCACCAGAATCCAAGATGACATGAAAAAATAAATAAAATGCTTTTTTTTAGCCAAGGCCCCACATAACACAGAAAACTCACAAACACAACTGAGGAGGTCCAGAAGTACTTTATGAGAAGAGTCCTCCTCTGCTCACAATAGAATTCCTTATGCCACCAGGCTCGAAATTTTGGGCTTGGACAATCTGGAACTGCACCACCTACGGTCTAACCTAAGCAATAGTACACAAAATTGTGTACTATGTGCTACAATGTCCTACCTGTCAGCAACTACTTCAGCTTCAATAATACTTGGGCAAACAATAGATACAAACTCAAGATAAACCTCTCCAAACTTGATTGCAAAAAATACGACTACAGCAACAGAGCGGTCAATGCCTGGAATGTACTACCCGACTCTGTTGTTACAAACCTTTAACCTTAAACTGTCTACCGTGGACCTCACCCTATTCCTAAGAGATCCATAAAGGGGGCGTACATAAGAGCACCAGCATGCCTACCATCCTTGTCCTATTGTCCCCATTTATTTGTACTCATTGCCTTTGTCCATATTCATGTTTACACTTATATCTGTTATCTTGTACATGTTTGACAAAATTAAAAAACACTGAGGTTTTTACAGTGTAATTAAAACAATGTAAGTTGCCAGATATAAAACCCAGGAATCATATAATACTCTCTGAAGAAACAGGTAGGTATAAGCATATTGGTCAGATTAAAAAAAAATAGAAAGGTTTTTAGGTTTTAGGTTTTAGGTTTTATTAACATTTGTATGCCGCCCACTCCCTAGAGACTCTGGGCAGCTCACAGATAAGACAAGGGACATACATAAAAATTAAAATAAGAATACAATCATTAAAATTACACAACATGCATACTGCTTAGAGTGGGGCTGGATACTAATCAACAGCCCCAGGCCTGCCGGAACAGCCAGGTCTTAGTAGTTTTACGGCAGGCCGGAAGAGTAGTAAGGGTCCGGATCTCTACAGGGAGATCGTTCCATAGGGCCGGGGCAGCAACAGAGAAGGCCCTCTCCGGGGAGCCGCCAACCGACATTGCCCAGCCGATGGTACCCGGAGAAGGCCCAATCTGTGTGATCTTATTGATCTTTGGGAGGTAAATGGCAGGAG